AATCAAGTTGTATATGCAAGACAGGCTTTATTGTATATAATTTTTAAATCCAAGCTATAACAGGACAAACATCTATTTTATTATTATAACTACAGTAAATACTGTTACCTAGACCACCTGTTATCACAGATACCCTCACACCAATTGGTTTTCCTAGAACATTAAACTGCTCCGAAATCTGAAATGCCAGTTCACGAGTTGGTGTAAGCACAAGAGCAAATATTCCAAATGGATCTTCTGACAATTTCTGTAAGATTGGTAGAGCAAATGCTGCAGTTTTACCACTTCCAGTTTTAGCACATCCAATACAATCTTCACCTGTAATCAGTCATAGAAAGACATCATGGTCTTAACTTAAGTAGATAAATAGTCTTTTACAGAGTTAATGGAATAAATCTAGAGATACATTTAACAAATGTGTTTCTGTTAAGGGTACACCATTAAACGGTTAACTAATTTTAGGGCAATAATTTAGCCAATAGAAAACGAGCAACATACTATATTGCACAGTATGACATGACATTTTCATAGAAAAATGGCAGTATGACATTAAAGCATTTGAAACAAAGAAAAGTAGCCCAAAATTACTTGATATTCTTTTATCTTTTACATGTATATTTATTAAAGCCATTATTCAAGTTTCCAAAATCTGAAATTCCATACAATCTTAGGAGAAAAATGTAAAATGGGTGATCTTTATGCAGTACTTGTGCCATTTGAAAGATTGTTCAAACTAAATTCATAAGAAAAATTCTTTACTCTTTTAACTTGCATAATTATGCAAAATCTTAGTGGGTAAAATTTCGTCTTCCAGTGATTCATAAATTGTACTGCACTTGTGTCAACATGTAAAGTTTCAATATGGCTAATTATGTTTATCACAATAATAAATATCAAATGTTAAATTTCAAAACTTTTTTCCCTGTCTACTATAAAGTATTTGGACTACAATTAGTTTTGGCTTCCATAACTTTAAATGTCCCTTTATTTTGATGTTGTGCAACAGTAAATTTATGGGTTAACCATGTTTGCAAAGGCTACCAGAATTTTGGAAGTTTGTAAACAGTACATAAATATCTATCAAATTTGGGTCAAATAAATTATACCATTTGATAAACAAATCAATTCTGTATCTTTTTATTGCTCTCTTTAAAAATAAAACCTCAATAACATCTTAATAGTATTATACCGAACTATTTTATACAAAAATATTTAGAGCTTGTCTACCAATTTCAAATGAAATCTTGTGGAACTTAATATTTTGGGAATTCTAGCATATATTTTTAGTAACAGACAATATACTATTTTTTTGTAATTCCAGCTGCATGCCAAAATATTGCAAGAAAATCAAACTTCTGTAAAAGTACTTTATTTATAAGAATAATGAAAAGATTCAAGACTTAAGTAATACTTGTAAGTTGTATATGTAATCGTGATTTGTGACCGATTTTGCAGTTTTTTTACCATATTTCTACTGCGTTACTAACACAGTGGGGAATATTTTAGCATATTTTGACCTATTTTTGCTGATTTACATGGGTTGTAAGTGCTGAAATCAACATGAAAATTATTTAGTTTGTTCACTTGACAATATTTTACTTTTTAAAACATTTTCAAAATTTTCATGAAAATTTGCATGAATCTGGAGGTGTGCAGCTTTAATGAACTATTTAATATAAACTTAAAATATAATTTACAAATCTGATTATCATCATTCACATCATTATCAAAATATGAATCCAATGATCTGTATGTTATTACACTGTTATTTGTAATTGCAAAGTCATATCTACCACAATCTCTTGGGTTACACCCCTATGTATACTTGTATATAATACACTAAGAAATGGGAAAGAACAATATATATGTCAGACTTCCTGAAAGTTAAAACAAGAGGGCCATGATGGCCCTAGATCGCTCACCTGACTTATCAAACTCATCCAAACAATTACCTAGACAAGCATTCTGACCAAGTCTCATGACAGGTGAGTCAAAAATGTGACCACTACAGTATTAACAAGGATTATCCATATTTGAGCAGTGCGACCTAGTTTTTTACCCAGGTGACACATATTCAAACTTGACCTAGAAATCATCAAAACAAACTTTCAGACCAATTTCCAGGATACTTGGATCAAAACAGTAGCAACTAGAGTGTTAACAAGATTTTTCTATTTTTAGCTTCGGTGACCTAGTTTCACATGAGATTTTGAACTCATCCAAGCAATTACCTAGACAAGCATTCTGACCAAGTTTGATGATAATTGAGTCGAAAATGTGACCACTAGAATGTTAACAAGGTTTTTCCATATTTGGGCGGTGTGACCTAGTTTTTCATCCAAGATGACCCATGTTCGATCTTGACTTAGAAATCATCAAAACAAACTTTCAGACCAATTAACGGAATATTTGGATCACAACAGTAGCCACTAGAGTGTTATTTTTAGCTCCTGTGACCTAGTTTTTCATCCGAGATGTCCCATGTTCGATTTATTCCCAGCAATGACCTAGACAAGTTTCCTGACCAAGTTTAATGACAATTGAGTCAAAATTGTGATCACTAGAGTGTTAACAAGGTTTTACTATTTTTTGCTCTGGTGACCTACTTTTTCATCCGAGATGACCCATGTTCGAACTCATCCGAGCTATCACCTAGACAAGCATCTTGACCAAGTTTGATGATGATTGATGCAAAAATGTGACCGCTAGAGTGTTTACAAGGTTTTTCTATTTTTAGCTCCGGTGACCTACTTTTTCATCCGAGATGACCCATGTTCGAACTCATCCGAGCTATCACCTAGACAAGCATCTTGACAAAGTTTGATGATGACTGATGCAAAAATGTGACCACTAGAGTGTTAACAAGGTTTTTCTATCTCTAGCTCCGGTGACCTACTTTTTCATCCGAGATGACCCATGTTCAAACTCATCCGAGCTATCACCTAGACAAGCATCTTGACCAAGTTTGATGATGATTGATGCAAAAATGTGACCGCTAGAGTGTTTACAAGGTTTTTCTATTTTTAGCTCCGGTGACCTACTTTTTCATCCGAGATGACCCATGTTCGAACTCATCCAAGCTATCAACTAGATAAGCATCCTGACCAAGTTTGATGATGATTGATGCAAAAATGTGACCGCTAGCGTGTTAACAAGGTTTTTCTATTTATAGCTCGGGTGACCTAGTTTTTCACCAGAGATGACCCATATTCGAACTCATCCGAGCTATTATCTAAACAAGCATCCTGACAAAGTTTGATGATGATTGGGTCAAAAATGTGACCACTAGAGTGTTCACAAGGTTTTTCTATTTTTAGCTCCTGTGACCTAGTTTTTCATCAGAGATGACCCATGTTCGAACTCATCCAAGCAATTGACTAGACAAGCAATCTGACCAAGTTTAATGAAGATTGGTTCAAAAATGTGACCACTAGAGTGTTCACAAGGTTTTTCTATTTTTAGCTCCGGTGACCTACTTTTTCATCCGAGATGACCCATGTTCGAACTCATCCGAGCTTTCAACTAGATAAGCATCCTGACCAAGTTTGATGATGATTGAGGCAAAAATGCGACCACTAGAGTGTTCACCAGCAATTGTGGACGTACGACGGACGACGGACATTCACCGATCCTAAAAGCTCACCCTGAGCAAGCTCAGGTGAGCTAAAAAAGTGTCAGACATCTGGTCTCACAAACCATGAAAATCTGTCAGACCGAAGCAAAATCTGTCAGACCGAATAAAATTAATCAAAATCAAAGGAAAACTAGTGTTTGTATTTCTAAGACACTTTCCGGTTTTAATTTGTTCGCTGTAAAATTTGGCGCAGTCTGTAAAGCGCATTTTCATCTCCTCCCTGTCGTACACCACGATTCACTGTCCTGCTTCCATTTTTCTTAATCTTTTGTCTCAGGTCTATTCTTTTCATCCTTTTACTGCTGTTCTACACGCTCCTCTGACGTAGATTTTCGTTTTTTCCCAGATTTGGCACCTTTAGCGACGCCATTTTGCATACATGCTACTTGGATTAAAGCCGGACAGTCACACCAATCCGGAATAAAAAATCGTTGGACCTAATCAAAATTTATCAGACATGTCCATTGGACCGACGTATTTCGGGAAGTCTATATATATACTCCTGGTTTAGACCCCAGGGTCTATTTCAAGATAAAGCCATATATACAATTGAAAACAGCATTTTGGTTATGGGTCACCAAAGGTGAGCAGAGGTATGTGAACATAAAGTCTAACAACAAGTCATGTGATACGATAGTCCTTCATTGAAATACTTCACATTTTCTTTTTTTACAGTTTTACCTTTATCAGAAAATGCGAAGTCTTTCCCTAATGGGCTAATTTCCTATAGCACAAAGCGACACGCTTTTCGAGTCTATTTTAATTTACCGGTAAATCACAACCTAAATGTTATTTATCACAAAAAGCAACTGACTGCATAAAAAACGGAAGCATTTTTTTTCAAAAACTGTATAAAATATGCAAAAATTACTCATGATAAGTAGTATATTCATCCATATATTTAAGAAGACACATAAAGAAATTTTGTGTTGACCCCCATATTGGAAAATTTGGTTCCTGTAATCACCGATATGCGCAGTACTCACCAATATGAAAGCTGTTTGCAAGACTTTTCAGGGCCTTTTTACCCTTCTGTACTGTAGCCGGTATTCGGCTACTTCCCAAAGCCAACTTACTACCTTTTTTCCCCAAAAAACAGTCTAAAATTCCCCTTCTTGCAAAGATTTTCCCTTTCAGAGAAATGTTACATCTAAGAAAATAACTTGTTAACAAACTTTCTTGTTTAAAAATAGATCATTGTTTTTGTCCAATGAAAGCTAATTATTCAATTACCCACTAGAGGGATACCTCAAATCAAGAACCCTCACATGTCATACGTAAATTTTCTATAATTAGGAAATATGAGTTAATGTATTCTTAGGCAAATACAAAGTGACAATAAATTGATCTGTAAAAAAATCCCTGTAACTTATGTTGGACAGAACAGGGCTCTCAGTAGGGTCAGAATTTCACGAGTCAAAGACTCTTTGGCTAAAATTTTCATGAGTCAAATAATTTTTTTCTAGTGTCATTTGACTACATGAATCATTTTTATGTAACAAAAATAACTGTATTGGAGGTCATTTTTGGAGATTCCAAAGTCTAAATTGACAGAAAAAAATGCCTAATTATAAATGTCTATACCCCCTCCACCTAAAAAAACAAACAAATAAAACAAAAACATGAATTGCTGTGAAAGAATAGAATAAGCAGCAGCTTTTCTGATTAAATGTATAAAATATAAAAAAAAATATCTTTACTGGTATGCTATATCATATAAATTTTAAATACCAAAATGTACCAGGTATATTTATAACAAATGCACAGGTACTCTAAGTAAATCAAAGACGTATTATAACCCTTTAAAAGCAATCAATAATTGACACCTCAAGTATGTAATTCTTATCAGTTGTGTAGAGCTATTTTTAGCGCTGTCAAATTGCAGCCACTGAATTGTCACGCTTCAGTGCACAGGGTATAAACAATTGCCGTGTGTAAAGCATTTAATACACAGCTTATACTGCCTGTTGACATTTTTTATGAGTGTGATTTGAACACATGTAGGATTTGATAATTAGGGGTGGATTTAAGGTAATTATTATTGCATAGCTGAAAATCCCATGTGGCAAATTGACTCTTGAGCAGATTTTATCACGTGTCAAATATGTGCATTTCCTGATTTTCACGAGTCAAAATCCGGATCCCCGTGTCAATCGAGAGCCCTGCAGAAAGCTCCTAAAATAAGTGTGTTTGGGGGAAAATATGCAAATATATTATGATATTTCCCCCAAATGTATGATTTAAATAAGTCTTTATTTATAGTAATAACGGTTAAACTGCCAGTGGAAAATGTGATTTTTTTCCCCAAAAGTATTAAAACCGCACATTTTTTCCCCACAAAAAGGGCTTGGGCGCCTTCCCCAAAACTAGTGAAAAGGCCCTGCTTTTACACGGGATTGTGTAAAATTGTTTAAAAGTTGAATAAATTGTTTTTGAGAAGGAAAAACACATAAATTGTGATAGGATAATTTACATCAAGCATTATTTGTAACATTTTATATGGGGAGTTTGAATGATTGTGCATGCTTAATGTTTTTCATTTTGCTATGGACTTTTAAATAGATATCTTTAGACGTTAAGCCAATTTGACCATAGTCCAATAAATTAGACGTTACAGGCTTGTTATAGTTTATGTCGGTCAATTCAAGCCCGACGTCTAATAGTTATTGCTCAAAAACGCATAGCATCATAAAAAATTCAAAAATGTCTATTGTCTTGCCTTTCAAGCTTTATTCAAAAGCTTATCTTCTTTTCTTTCAATTTCATGCTCAATCATACACAAAAACTCTCAAACAATGTACTTATCAATTAAAAATAAAATATAAACATCAATCTATTTTTGTCCATCAGCCATACAGGTTAAGCAAGGTGCTTTACAGATTGATTCCAAATTTTTGAACGGAAAAATATATTCGAACAAACTGACGGTGCAATAGCAGCATGGGCAATTATTTTGTTAAAAAAATATTCCGTTAGATTGTTCTGACACAGTTAGACGCTTGCATTTGAATTAGCCATTTAGATTTCGCGCACTTTATGGCCGCCATTTGTTTATTGGCTGTAAAGGGAATTTAAATACATGAGAGGATTTAATCATGATTTTTCGGATGTGACAGTTTAATTATTTTGACAAAAGGTATATATTTTTTAGTTTTGTTCATAAATAGGTCAAAGCTTATGTAAATACACGCTGCCTTCATTGTTTTTCGTTCCGCCCGATTTTCTGGCAGAACATGCTATGGGTTTTTGAGCAATTTCGATATGACGTTGCTGTGCCAGAAGCAAAAATATCTCAAAGCGACGTCATATTTATAGGACTTCTTTGACCAATGTAAAAATATAATTAAATCCGCGGTTTATGTCTAAATATTTGGACTAGTGATACGACAGCAATGCTGTCACTTCTTCATTTAATTGTATCAATAAGACATAACAAAATTTATTTGGAAGTCAGAGAATGCAATTATGCTGATAAACTTTGAGATATTATTCTGTTGATCAAACCTTTTTTTTTGTTAAAAAAAAACAAACTTTGCCTGAAGAGTGCAAAATATATATTAAACTGTTAAATTACCCATATAAATGGTGCAAATCTTTTATGCCAATAATGCAAATTTATTGAATAACAGATCGACACAAATATGTTACAATGTAGTGAAAAAACATGGGCGTCTCAGTGAGAAAGTCGATTTAAAAAAAAACATTTGTCGCGAAATCATGTGATTTATACAAATAACTGTTTACAATGCATACCTTTCAAAATGTGAGGAATACAATTATCTTGGATTCCGGATGGTTTTTTTAGTCCCATTGTTTTACACTGATTGGATAACCAGTCGTGCAGACCTAAGTCTTCGAAATCCATTTTTTTCTATTTTGTTTACATCCGCGTGTACACCATTCCTGCAGAGTTATTGTTCTTGACCAATAAAAATTGGTATCACGCCACTAAAAATTATCCTTCGTTGAGCTCAATAAAAATGTTTAAATTGGAGTGAACGATTAGACCCATTTTAGAATCTGCGTTTTACCCCTAATCTAACCCGTTATTGTAAGACATTTTTCGCATAAAGTTATCTCGATATCTGTTGGACAAGTATTATTAATTAAGCTGGACTAAATTTGTTATGCATTTGGAATAAGTAGATGGCTACCCAGTGGTTGCACTGCTTTCACGATTTAGTAAAGACACCATCTTTAGAAAAATGTATCGGTTTCCAAAAAAAGTTTTTTACTTGAGTTAAATGAAAGCGATTAGATAAGATAACATATGTATACAAACATGTCTTGTTATCAAGGGATTCTGATCCTCTGCCGAACAGGACCATATACGTTTTTTCACGTTTCATAGATTGTATTTGGTTATTAAATGTGTTTTGTAACATTGGCAATCTTTAGAGATGCTTGTACAATTATTCATAACATCAAAAGGCTTCAATTCAATTTATCTACATTAACACTCAGTTTGTATAATGTACAAAATCATGAGAAATATTAAAGAAATAGGTCACTACACGTGATGCTACTTTTCTATAATTTTCATTTAATTCGTTAATCTCAATTATACTTTGTTACCTAATCAATAATCTATACCTTCATTCTTTCTTCCGACTGTATCAAGTGGACTTCAGCATTGTAAAACTTGCCAGGAAACATAATGTGCAGAATGCGCACAGCAAATTAAGCAACAAAGTTTCAGATTCTTAGTGAAATCAAAAATTTGGATTTAACCTGTCTGATAGAGCATGTATTGTAAATGCTTCAAAAATGCAAAACAAATCAGCGTGTGCCTTAAACAAGAAATCAATGGGCAGAATTAAAATGATGGAATTTTGAAAGAGGATCTGAGATTATGAAGCATGCATATCACAGAAGAGATGTCAGCAGAATTCAACATTTAATCATGGTTATGGTGCAATTTTGAGTTGGGAAACATCTACAGATGAGTTCATACCGGCGGTAATCATGAAAAAAAAACACCTAAAAATAAATCGAGACCAAGAGCAAGTGATAATGTTGAAAGTAATGATGGCACTGACTCAAATACAAAATGGGGAGATGGAGGTTGCATGTCTTAAAATATGATTCTATAAAACTTAACAATCTAACTGAACTGAAGAGGTCATATACATGTACGTGTTCTTTATTTTTGGTTAGGTTTGGTAACGGGTCTGATGCCTTCAATGTATAATCAAATATGTTTATGCTCAAATTTAAAGCTGTATATACTGTCACAGTATAAAACGAGTACTAGTATGGACATAATGAATTTCCGCGCCGTAATGCTTTCCCGTAAAACTAAATTTTCACAACTGCGCATATCTAAACAGATAATCGTAAAGGTAGCATTTTTGTCGGATCTTCTCAATATATGTAATGCATAGCTGACGCAGTGATGTAATAAATATCTAACTTTTTTCCAGCATTCTACGCACATACATGTACATGTACTTCTGTATGTTTAATTTTCGCTTCATTACAGTTGCATCGCCAGAAAGCTCATGTACATCGCATGGAATGCCAAAACACGGTGCGTACTGTGAGCTTGCACGAAACAAATACCATCGCTTGTCGTTCAGGTAACAGTGAGTTAGGTCGCTATAAGATCGCTTAGTGTTCCAAGTGTATTGTTTTGTTTTTCAAAGAAAGACAACTCTGTCGACCTTGTTTGATTTTAATCTTACGTGATTATGTCCCTTCGACCAAATTTGCTATCTGCTTATCCGGTCACCTGAGACATGTAGATGTGTTGGTTTTAATTATTATAAAGGATATGATAATAATTGTCAGCACAATGAAAGCACAATTGAATGCAATAGATGCGCAAGGAGAGGGGAATCACAAACAAAAAAAAGAAGAAAAAAAGAAGGAACTCCTATAAAGTTTAGAACTCCCAAAACTCCAAAACGGTAAATTGAACTTGTAGCTACATAAAGGATTTTAGCCCAGAAGGAAATGTATCAAGGAAAATTTACTGTTACCCATTGTTTCCCTAGCCACTTAAGTATCCATCGTGTGTACGGATGGAGACTCTAACCATATCCCCAGCCGCCATTAATTGTGCCTTTTCGGCGGGGGATAACCAGCTTTATAAAGGAAATCTGAAATATCCTTAATATCTATTGTAATATTGTACCTACTTACAGATAAATGGACAGATATTTGTATATATAATACTTCTTTTTACATTACATTTATTGCCAAATTGGTTACATCAATGTTATTCGAGGCTGGGTCAATATGAAATGCAATATAAGGTACATTCTCTAGTTTAACCCTTTCCCTCATGAGCATATTGTGAAAAATGGCCGTTTTCACTGAAAAGCCTGCTGTTACAAGTTCAAACTGCCATGAAACTATGAAAAATGCTTCAATACTAATCAAACTTGGCACAAATGTTGACTGGACCATTGCCTTTGTAACGACATGCTCAGTCTTAAATTTCCTGTTACCATGGCAACGAGGGTACATCTCAAAATTGCCAAAAGTCACTATTTTGCCTCGAGTTTTTCCATCAAAATTTATTTCAAAGTGCTGCAACTTCTCAAGGGATTGAAATAGAGTCAAAGGCTTTTCAGCGTTGGTTACACGTTACCTAATGATCGACCTGGGGTCATTTTTACACCGTAGCTAGGGAACGTGTTACAGTATCGCGTTTTCCGGTTACAGTATAGAATTGTCAAGATGGAGGATTATTTGTTGGGAGGACAGGTAAGAGATTTTTTATTCCGGACCATACTACAAGAACTTTAGTTTCTAAAGGATGTTTTTGTGCTATGCTTGTAAGGAACAGAATCCGGTATCTAGTCATATATTTCTTCAGACCCTGCACCACAGATTTATCTATATATTGTCTCATAAATATGCAGATTTGACAGTTTGAAAATTTGAATCGAGAGACCAACGCATTTTTCTCAAATTTCGACAGTATTTATGCATGCCTACAAAAAGTAAATCTTCAAAACGTTAGTCCTTTATGTTAGGAAACGTTTATAAAAGTAAATGACCAGTTGAAACTATTTTCCTGTTTCGTTAAAAAGAAAATAATATCGAAAGTTATAGAGTATAAATTGAGGTCAGACAATTACAAAATCTTCTCTAGTGAGCCTGATGGAGGTACATAATAGTGGCATAGTCGGGATAAGGCCGTCGACTTCAAATCATCTTTCATTTACTGCTGTAGTTGATATCCAATCATGCCTTTTGGATTATTTGTATGTCAGGAATCTATCAAGCAAATTTACGGAAGGTCGGTGGTTCTAGTCAGGTGCCCGTTTGTGTCTGAAATGTTTCACAAAGGGTATCTGGGGTCTTTCTTTACACTACAGCAGGAGTGTTTTCACATGACCTCAGTGTCGTTGAAACTTAAAGTCCAAGAAAGCCAAACGTAACAAACCCTTTTAAATACTTACAAAATACATTATGGTAGATGGAAATTCCAACTTAAAATAAAATTTAATGTTGCAGTATTGCTCACTTAAATACTGTTTAATCATTCTTAGGGTATTGTCTGCTTATTAATTGTGTCTTTTGACAGCTTATCTATGGTATGCAGGCTTCACAACCTCCGATCCCCTCTCAAAATTTCATTTTATTTAGTTTCACTCATTTTATTCTCGTTTTAAGGGCACACGCAATTTTTAACCTGCGGGTAATATGCCGCTTTTCATAGAATGGCAATAACGTGTCACATTGAAGGTTCCATGATAACCGCCATATGAACACATCCACAGATGTTAAAAAATCTAGAGTGTACCAGTTCATGTTTTTAAATGTGAATTCTGCGGAAGCCGGTGCTAGGAGGCGTGGACTGTAGCTTGCAGTTACCACTACACTCCATTAACAGGTTTAATCAAACTGAGCCTGCAACATTTTCATGTTTTCCGTGTTGGACTTCTGTTACGGATTCTTTTTTCTCTGTTTTATTACTAATAGGCATTATTATAATATGTAATGAAATCAAGCAATAATCTTTCTTCTCTCAATACAATTCGATAAAAGTTACTCTTGTTGTCGTGAAAACAGTCCTTACTTAGGACATTACTTATTCTGCAAAAAGTCTCAAGTAAGAAAAATAGCAAACTATAACTTTTCTGCTGAAGAAAAAACGTAATACAACCTTTCAAGAATGTATTAAATAGAAATGTATGAGTTATTTCATAAAAATAATGGATACACGAACTTTGTTTGAAATTTGGCAAGTATCTAAACTGTAACCGAAATCTGGGTATAAACTGTAACAAAATTGGATCAAAGTCGCTAGGTCTATGCTGTAACCCTTCAAAATTAACATCGCTCTATACTGTAACATTGTTTATTTTTTCAAACGCATTTTACCAACAGGAAAATAGGTTCAACTGGTCATTTACTTTTATAAACGTTTCTAAACATAAAGGACTAACGTTTTGTAGATTTACTTTATCTGGGCATGCTTAAATAATGTCAAAATGGGAGAAAAATGCATTGGTCTCTCGATTCAAATTTAAATTTTCAAACTGTCAAATCTGCATATTTATGAGACAGTATAGAGATGAATCTGCGGTGCAGGGCCTGAATAAATGTATGACTAGATACAGGATTCTGTTCCTTACAAGCAAAGCGCAAAAACGTCTTTTAGAAACTAAACTATACTTGTAGTATGGAACTGAATAAAAATCACCTACCTCTCTTCCCATAAATAATCCTCCATCTTGAAAATTCTAAACTGTAACCGGAAAACGCGATACTGTAACACGTTCCCTACGGTGTTTTAGCCTCTCACAAGTCCAAAATTTTCTTGGCGATGAGGGGGACTCCGCCCCCTTCAAACCCCTCAAACAGAAGGGGGCACATCAACCTTCTGGCAACCCCCTGATGTATCTTTTGGATGGGGGCGGAGCCGAAAAAGTGCTCACTTTTTTAGCAACATTTCTCAAACGAAAACATGTGTTTGGGGCCCAAATATGACATTTTTTCACTATTTCAGGCCTAAACTAGAAATGTGTCCATAGGACACGGGTGCCCCCACCGCGCCACTGTTCTGTCAATCTTTTTACTAAGTCAAGGGAAATAACTCTACAAATACTGGATAATTCCACAAGCAAAACCCCAGGTGCAAATCTAAAATATGCTGAGCAACCTGCCCATAAGGTTTAATGACTATGTCAAATCCTTTTTGAGAAACTTGCGACTTAAGTTGAAAATTGCAAAAATTTTCTAAGTGAAGGGCAATAACTCTAAAAATACTAAATAAATCCAGACGAAAATACCTGGTGCACAACTGCACATGCTGATCAATATTCCTGTAAAGTTACATGACTCTAGGTCAAATACTTTTTGAGTTACGTGCGACACATGTTGAAAATTGCCAAATTTTACTAACTCAAGGGCAATAACTCTGAAAATACTAAAAATATCCAGACGAAAATACCCAGGTGCACAACTACACATGCTGATCAACATTCCTGTAAAGTTTCATGACTCTAGGTCAAATACTTTTTGAGTTACGTGCGACACAAGTTGAAAATTGCAAAATTTTACTAAGTCAAGGGCAATAACTCTGAAAATACTAAAAATATCCAGACGAAAATACCCAGGTGCACAACTACACATGCTGATCAACATTCCTGTAAAGTTTCATGACTCTAGGTCAAATACTTTTTGAGTTACGTGCGACACAAGTTGAAAATTGCAAAATTTTACTAAGTCAAGGGCAATAACTCTGAAAATACTAAAAATATCCAGACGAAAATACCCAGGTGCACAACTACACATGCTGATCAACATTCCTGTAAAGTTTCATGACTCTAGGTCAAATACTTTTTGAGTTACATGCGACACAAGTTGAAAATTGCAAAATTTTACTAAGTCAAGGGCAATAACTCTGAAAATACTAAAAATATCCAGACGAAAATACCCAGGTGCACAACTACACATGCTGATCAACATTCCTGTAAAGTTTCATGACTCTAGGTCAAATACTTTTTGAGTTACGTGCGACACAAAAGTGAACGGACGGACGGACGGACGGAAGGACGGACGGAAGGACGGACGGACAGACGGACGGACGGACAAGGGTAAATCTAAATGCCCGCCACTAATGTGGGGGCACAAAAAAGGGGGGGGGGGGTCGAAAGTGCGTTGTTTCGCGTATATATGAGGTAAAGGGTTAAACCCGGAGACTTTCTTTTCCCAAGACTGAAAAATCATCTTGTAGGTCATCTTTACAAGACGATTCGCCCTACCGTATATTAACCATTTTTAATTTATTTAGACTGAAAACTATTGTTTTTGTTTTTTTGTTGTTGTTTTTTTTTTGGGGGGGGGGGGGTGTTTTTTGTGATTTTGTTTTTCCCCATTTACTTTGGTAACGAAAGACCTAAACTAAAAATGATTAAGTGTTTCAATGAATAACACCTAATTGAAGAACTTATCTTTGTTCAGCAAATACGAAGAATATATATCTTTTGAAGGAAAATTATTTAGAACATGGTGTCATTATGAATATTGAAGTAGGCTAGGACGAATCGTCACTGAACTGGGGCTGAATAATAATCGGTTTGTTATATTTTATTGACCCTCGTACCTTTAGGCTTGTTCCATTTTTATAGGGAGGTAACGCAGCATGTTGGACTACAAATACAAATGTAGATAATAAAATTACCCAATAGATAACAACTAACATAACCTTACATATTTATTGATTTATGTACACGCGCTATCAATTTAAAGGAATGTGGTTACGTGTCTTGTATGAGGTTTTAGTTTGAAGTATATTGTACGTATTTGTTAATTATGTTTGGTGTCGTGTCTATAATCTATAAACATAAAGTTAATGTTATAGTTGTAAAGGTCTTTTTTTAATATTTAAATAGTGACGTCAACGGAAGAGTTGAAACGGATTTAACGATTTTTGCTCTTAATGAAAAACAAAATGTTTAAACATGTGTACAATTATACTAGAAACAGACATAATGGTTATATTCGCTTTATATTACAAATTTATGTTATAAAACACGGAAGTTAATATATTCATATGCACATAATGTATTTTGATTTCAGATAATAACATAAAGTCACATTTGTCATGGAAACTAATAGATGTGATCCGTGCCAAATCAGAAGAAAACTATCAAAAGGAGTCGAGTATTGCAAAACTTGCCAGGAAACATTATGTGAAGAATGTGCAGATGTACATAAAAGCAGTAAAGCAACAAAATTTCATTTTCTAGTGAATATTAAGGACTTGAATGTCACTTCAACAACTGAGCGTAAGTTGGGAAAGCTTCAAAAATGCCGTTCCCATCCTGAAAAAAATGTCGAGTTTTTTTGCAAGAAGCATAATTACTTAATATGCAGTAATTGTTTACTTCAACACCGAATGGTTGACTGTTGTAACGTTATTGAAATAGACGTTGCAGGTGAAGCAATCATTAAGAGTGGGTTTATAGAGAAAGTTAAATCTGATTTACACGCAATGAAATATCAGCTTGAGCACGATACACAGAGAATAAAAATTCAACTGACAGATTCAAGAAAAGCAAACATGGAAATAAAAGAAACGTTTAGGAAAACAAAAGCTGCAATAATAAAGCTTTTTGAACAATTGGAAAACGATATTCTGAACAGCAATACCTTCGATGAAGAACAAGAAAATGGACAGCTGGAAAATCTTCAAAAAGGAATCATTCAAATGATTGCTGACATTAATGATGCCGAAGTAGCTCTTGAAAAAACAATCTGTAATGGATCAACATCTGATGTGTTCAAATGCATTATGCAAATTGGACATTTTCTTGATGTGTGCGTGATAAAAAACCAAAACATGAAAGAACCAATATGGACGAGTCAGAACTCGGTTAAAATAGCAACTGCATTGCAATTACTTTTAAATCAAAATATAAAAATGGTCGAGCGACGTCAAATTCGAACCAAGTTTGTCCTATCTGAATTTTCTCCGCTCAAAACAACATTTACAGAATTACTCGAAATAACAGCAAATTATAATTTACATGAAGTTAATGATTATAACTGTCAAACCGGAGTTACTGCAATTCTAAAAACTCAGTGTCCAACTCCGTCCAAATTATCTTTATTGCAGTCGTCTCAGTTATCCGAACATAAAAATAATCGAGATAACACTAAAGACGTCGACGCTGCGCAATTTCACAAAGACACAAAATCTTATGGTGGTATTAAAAATGTCGAATCTAAAGAAGTGAGTACATGCATACCACTTTTAAAAAAGAAAATGTCTGAAAATGAAAAAGGGTCTATTGAAACTGTGAACGTTGATATCCAAAAGGCCCCTATTCGATTTGAAAACGTTAATGTTCCCGAGGAAAAGAAAATGGACAAGTGTAAAGATACACTTAAAGGAAAATATCCTTATGACGAAACATGTACAAAGAAAGAAAAAGCGGTGATGCATGATCATACAAGAACACGCAAGGATATTCTGTATAGTGACAATGCAGCAACTGATATCGACGCTGTGAATAACTCAATGAATTCTGTTACAACCGTGTGCAATGAAGAGATAAAAAATGTTGAAGATGATAAAAACAAAGAAGGGGACAACATTGACAAAAGACTAGAAAGAGACACGAATGTAATGTTGGAGATTGATGTACAAGAAAGTGACCACCCTGGGACATTTAAAATACCTGGAACTAAATTATCTAAAGCCAAATTTAGCATAACAAATGAATCCAACATTAAATTACCATTGCCAGATACAAAAATAGGTGATATATCAATACTGGTAACATCGAGTGATAATATCATAGTCTGTGACTATCATAATGATAAACTAATGATATTTGATGTGGTTCAACAAAAGATAAAAGACATGTTTGAGTTTCCGGCAAACATGATAAACATAGATCTTTTAAAAGATCAAACTATTGCCGTTTGTCATGAAAATTCAGCGCATATAACCATGATTGCTTTCAATACGTCTTTTAAAATAATAGGAGTCATTGAAACTGAGTATAAAGCAAAGTGTGTGCAGTCAGTTGACGATACAAATATGTTAGTTTCTATGCGTGATTCTACCGGTCGTTGGCATTTACATATATTATCTAATGCTGGCCAATTGATAGAAAAACTAAATTTGAACAGATCAATTTTAGACTGTAAAAGCCTAGCTGTTCTTTCTTCCAATGAGTTCAGATTCGGTTATAGAATTTTACAGTGTTGCTTAACAGCGAATTCTTTGTTCTGTTATGAAAAGGATGGGAAAGATATCTTCAAATTAAAATTGAAGTCCCCTGATTGTGTTGCTGTTCATGACTCTGGTTTCATTTTTGTAACACAGAGACAAGGCTGCATCCATGTTCTTTCTTCATCGGGACAGAAACTTTACGAAACAAAGTGTTGCAGTGATGTTACAAGCATTGCGATCACTTCATCTATGGACAAAATTTTACTAACTAGATCAAAAGACAAAAGTGTTACGGTGCTATCTGTTGATGTGAATATTTAGAATATGTATTAACTTGCAAATTTAACAAAAAGTATCTGTTTTTGTTTGTACATAATACCTTTACTTATACACGTATTTAAAAGTCAAAATACCTTGATCATAAACTTGGTAATAATGTTAAAAAATAAATTGAAATTGATACTCGACAATTTGGTGTAATTATCTATAAATTAACATGCAACAATACTAAGTTAGCAGCGAGCTTATGCCTGTTATTTTAAAATGCATTTATAATTCTTCAAGCTGCCACGATATCTTCTCCCTCCACTGAATTATTTTATATTTAATACTTCCACTGTTATAATATGTACTGCAGATGTGACTAATTTTTTGTAGATCATATTGCATGGCATAGTTCAAGGTATCCAAATGAGTTATGTTATAATTAAACGTCGTATGAAAAGGCTTGCGGATGTTTCAACCATTTTTCAGAAGTTGGCAAAGTCGGTGTTAACATTCAATTTTGAAATTATTGATCAATGTGTATAATGACATATTATCTTCCTTGCACCACAACTAGAGCAAGAGCACCACAAATGCGGGACAATATACGCCCGAATTGAAATTGGTTTGAGTAATCAAAAATAATCTTTCAATTAGGGTAAATACCCAATCATGGAACTTGTGAAAATGTATTTATCTTAATTATCCTTATATGATACAAGTTGGAGGCATTTTTGACCTTAAGTGTATGATACAAAAATGTTTTATAGAGGTCTTCTAGGCAATGCTATATGCTAAACATAGAGGCATTGTATTGTCCACAAACAGATAAGATATTTTTTCCTATACCTTAGTCTAGTTAAAGCAATTTTAAGTAACTCCAGGGACAGGGCAAATTTTGATTAAAATAACGTTTGGAGAATCTAAAAATCAATGCTATATGTGCCATATATCTAAGCTCTGTTCGTTGTAGTGTCACATAATACTTAAATGTGATTTCTTGCAATCAACGCCTGGGGCAGGCCAATATTGACCCAAGGGGATATGATTAATATCAATTCTGCAGACATTCACAAGGTAATGCTACATGCTTAATTCAAATTGACCGTAGCAAACAATGACTGTGGCTTCTTATGGCTGCAAGTACTTAGTGACCATCTTGGCAATAAGAATTTTGGACTGAGAATTATTAGAAATTTGGTCTCTTTAAAATAAATGTGTCTGTGGCTTTCCATATATTATACCAAAACAAACTCAAAATTGGACTGACCAAGACAGGGTATATTTTTTGAACTTATATTATTCTATTATTAAAATCTAAATTTATAAATTGTCTGTGGCTGTCCGGCAGCTGGATCACTATGTGAGTGACGGTTACCTATGAGGTGGTTATCTCAAAATCTGGGGGATTGGCGTGACCACTCTGAGGGGATGAGAAGACCATGACCAAGCCCCCAAAGTGTCACACTCTCAAAGTAGGCATTACGGGAGGAGGTCAAAGAAGATTTCTTTGAAGACCGAGACCAGGGCTGGGAATCAAAACTGCGTCGTATCCTACAAAATGTAAACAAACGCCGCCATCTTGGAACGAAAAACGTATGTTTTTGTTTATAACTCTTTTTGTTGGAAATGACTGAAAACAAGATATATGTATTAACACGCTACACTATTTTCCGCTTCGTTCGGTATATGTTGCTTGCACAACTGTTTTGTAAAACAAAAGTTATAGCGAACTTGCAACTCGAAGCGAGGCAGAATTTTTATGAAAATGTGTGGATACGACGCAGTTCATTTTGCTTTATCTATCGTTTTTCCTTCAAATCAAGTATATATTTGTTTCAGAGTTCACCATAAACTTCGAAATATAATTTTGCATCATTTACTAAAATTTCATTAAAAAGAGATGTTTATTTTCCAAGAAAATAATGATTTTTACGAAATGATACGACGCAGTTGAGAATAAAATATGATACGACGCAGTTGTATTTTTGGCAGTCTTTTCAACAGGGATAAGTTTGGCAATATATTTCTATTTTATGGAATAATCACTTGCGCTAGATAAAAACCCTGATCATTTGCGGTGTAAAGCAATGTTCTGTTGATTATTTAGAATACAATGTGACATATCCAATATAACATTTAATTTGAAAATGTACATTGCGGAAGCTACTTTTCAGTTAAACATAAACATGTTACCTTATTGATCATAATATCTGAAATAATTTCTTATATTTTCCTGTATGTTCAATATTATCCCTAATTTTTTTCGCAAAAAAATGTAGAAATCTATTAACTTAAATTCATTTTGGCTAGCTACGCTCTAAGTTAACTGTGGTTCTGCATGTTCTGGGTATTGACTGCTTTTTTGTGGTTTCTTTTCAAACTTTCACTCTACACATTAGTTTTACTAGGGGCGAGGACCTCAGGTGCGCCTCTGTGCATTATTTCAGGCAAAATGTTGTACCTGCAGAGAACCGTCGACATTTTGAAACTAGCTTGATAGGTTTTCCACACAAATTTAAGTATAAAAAGTCCCTGTGGTTTTCGAATTCAGC